AAAGGAAACAAATCCCCATATGGCTTCCATACGTGCCTTCATCCTGGTTCCAGAGCAGAACTACTTCCCTGTTTACCTGAACGCCGACTTAGAGGTTCAGGCCTCTGCTTAATGCTACCTGGAATTGTTCGGGTTCAGTCCATCTTCCCAGGTACACAGGGGCCGCCCTCGCAGGACGCAGGGATCTCCTTCTCTGCCCCACCAGGCAGAGACGCAGGCGGCTGTTGTGGACCCGCGTGTCCGGAGTGCCATCCTGCTGTCTTGCAAACCGTGTCTTCTCGTTCACCGTCTTGTGTCGTCCTCCCCGCCGGAGGACAGATGCGGTGGGAGAAGCAGCTCCCCTTCAATGTACATACATGAGAGTACAATGTACAAATATGAAGTTATTTGATTTCAAATCTAACTTTTTGTCTGTTTTTTAGTCTCCTTTGACTTCTTTAAATCCGTTAACCACATGTACTAGGAAATTGAGGAGAGTGATGATTTTGCCGTATTTTGTTGTTGTTGTTGCTGTCACATTTTTCAAAAAAAAAAAGGTTAATTTACTTTAGAGAGACAGAGGGCACGGGTGGGAGGAGGGGCAGAGGGAGAGACTCTCCTGCAGACTTTCTGGGGACCGCCGGAGCCTGCTGTGGGGCTCAATCTCATGAGAGATCATGACCTGAGACAAGATCGAATCAAACGCTCAACCTGCTGAGCGCCCAGGCCCCCCTGCTGCTACGATTCTGTCCACGTCTCTGTGTACTATTGCCTTATCCTTGAGGACCCCTCAGACCTAGGCTGGCTGTGGCCCTAATCCAGAGCCTTTGAGAAGGCACCGGGGTCCTGAAACGACAACCCCCTGGAGGCCTTGCCCCCGCTGCCCACGTTCCCACCCTAGTCTGCTGCACTGGGTAGCTCTAGTGTTTGGTGAGGCAAAGGGGACAGCATGTGCAGAAGACTGTGCTCTCCCCAGGGGGCGCGAGTGCCCCATCACCTCCACATTTGTGCTCCAGAGAGGCGTCCTGGGTCCACACACAGCCGGGGGTGTCTGGGATGCCATCAGCACCCACAAGAGCTAAGCAACTTCTCTGCCATGGGACCAGCTGTCCCAGAGCTTCTGTGACCTGGGCCTTTCTCCTCCCGGGAGGAAGGAATCCGTCAGCTCATCAACACCGCAAGCCAAAAATCCATCCACTACCTGTGGACCGGCTGGACTACAAGTGCCCGCCTTCTCTGCCCTTGACACTTCACGGCTCCTCCTACTTCCGTTTCCTTTAAGAGGTGCCGATCTCCTGGTGATTTAATCTGACCACCTGCCACCCTGAGAAGACTGGGAAGAGAAAGTGTTGACTGGGGAAAACTCCACAGTTTTAATGCCCGAATGTTTTCGTTTCTTCAGTTCACATGTGGCCTTTCAGAGGCCCGGAAGGGGCAGTAAGGGGCCCGTCTGACCTCGGGTGGCCTTACCTAAAACACACGCGCTGCCCTCTGTCCCGCAGCCATCCAGTCGCGCCAGGGGCAACAACGTGCAGCCGGGAAGCGTCCCTTCCTCGTGTGGATTCTCACCCAGTGGCTCACACCGAGAGCTCCAGCCGGGAGGTCCCGCCGCTCTCAGCCTGTCTTGGGGCAACCCGCCTGCCTCTCCCTGGAGCAGACCCGCAGGAGCAGAGTCGGGAGGAACACCGGATACTGGAGGGACTGGGCACCCGAGCGAGATGGGGGGAGTTAGAGGAGAAACGGGAGTGATGAAGGGAGAGGGGAGAGGAGGGAAGAAGGAGGGGAGGAAAGAACAAAGTACAAAGGACTAAAAGGGAGGAGAATCAGTCTGTATCAACTCCGGTTTAGTAATTCCTAAATTTAGGAATATTTAGATCGATTTTCTGAGTCCAGCATCACCAAAATAAGCATTAGGTTAATATTTTTCTCCATTTTATAAGTAAGGATGTAAATACAGAGTAAAAACAAGTAGCTTCTCAGGTTATAGAGCCATAATATGTCAGGCTGGGACTCACAAGCAAGTGTGTTCTGATCCCAAATCCAGACCCCTTAGCCTGAATGCTAGCCCCAAAGGTACCAGGCATTAATCCCTGGAACCCAGAGGTTATGTTGTGTATGGCAAAGATTTTGCAGATGTGATTAAGTTGTGGATCTTGGGATAAAGGGATTATCCCGGATTATCTGGGTGGGCACTAAACACAATCACACGTATTATTCAGGGACAGAGCCAGGGGAGATTTCACTAAGAAGACAGGAGGGACATGAGAGGGACAGCGGAAGCCAGCAGTTGGAGTGGTGCCAGAAAGGGTCACGAGTCCTTCTTTCAGTTTCCCACAACATGTTCCTCCTTTCCTTCCCAGCCCTTCCCAGAAGCATCCTTTAATACCCATATTTCTGCAACAGTTAGCTCAAGGCATTCTAGGATTTTTCTATCATGCACCTCAAGATTCTTCAAGTCTCTACACATTACCCATTTTCAAAGCCACTTTGAGATATATATGAAACAGCTAGACATATAGCTATCTGTATCTTTTTATTTATATCTGTATTTATCTCCTGATAAGGATACAGATAACTATATCAATATATCTGTATTTATGTGTATATATAGAGAGAGACAGAAACAGACACAGACACAGAGAGGTGTATTATAAGGAGTTGGCTCACCAGATTATGGAGGCTGAGAAGTTCTAAGATCTGTTACCAGCAAGCTGGGAACCCAGGAGAGCTGATGTACTTCCTGTCTGAGTCCGAAGGCTTGAGAACCTGGGGAGCTGATGTTGTAAGTTCCACTCCGAGTCTGAAGGCAAAGGACTAATATTCCAGCTCAAAGACGCAATTCTTCTTCTTTATATATTTAGGTAGGTAATATGCATCTCTGTTTGATTGCACCAGTAATACACCATATAATTACACAATTTAAGAGCATGGCTTTTGTGTCATAAAATTCTAACTTCTTCATATCGCCTAGAAAGAGGGGGAAAAGAAGCAAAATAGCTATTTATGACTAGAATCTGATATAACCCTTGTGCATTTTGTAATCTCAAAGAATGAGCAAAGTGTATATAACCACCAACCTTATGGGAGTGGGGGAGGGGGAGTAAACATATACCGAACCGTTCAAGAGAAAACAAGAAAGAAGGATATAGAACAGAAGGGACAAACTACACACCTAACACAGAGACATATATAATGCTTGAAAGTAAAAAGATGGGAGTTACTAAGCATAAATAAACCAAAATAAAATTAGCCATGTTGTTTTGAGACAATGTAGATTTTAGGACAAAATGGATAACCAAGGATTTACAGAAAGTTTTTGTAATGATTAAGCATACAATTCACCAGGAAGATAACAGGTACTCTAAATTTGTAAGCACCTAATAACATAACTGATAAAAAATATATATGTTAAAAATTGACAGAAATCTACAGAGAAATATGTTAAATCTGCACATCACAGTGGCAGACTTTGACATACGTCTTTTAGTAATCGATAGAAAAAGCAGGAGTGAGTAGTGATGGGTGAGATTTAATCGGCATGTCTATCAAATTAGACCTAGCAGACAGTTATAGAACATCCAACAACTGCAGGATACAGAATATTTTAATGCAAACACAGAATGTTTATAAAAACCCATCATGTGCTGGGCTATCAGCCAACTACCTGCACATTTCAAGGTCTGAAATGATACAGACCATATTCTCTGACCACATGCAATTAAGCCATTATTCACCTAACAAATGACTAGACTATTCCTACTTACTTGGAAACTGAAGACTATTATACCATAAAATAATGTATGTTTATAAGATGACATCAGAATGGAAATTACAAAATAATTTTTCCTGGGAAAAAAGTTTTAGGTTTTGAAAATACATTTCACATTGGTTGGGCCGTTCACTCTCTGCTTCAGAGTAGAGGCCTCCAATGCTAATAGCTTTCCAACGTGTCCTTGATTTCCTTCAAATAATGTGTTTTTCTTCCTCTCCCACGTTCTTATGTCCTCTGTGGCCTGCTTCTGGACTCTAGGAAGTATTCTGAGCTGAATGATAATAAAATTATGATGGCAAACGTTCTGGGCTACACGCATGGGACGCATGGAGGAAATTAAAGAAAAGGGAAGGAAGGAACTATAAGGGTAGAAGCGAGAACTAATGAGACAGCAATCCGAAATAAAAAGAGGCTGACTTAACCAAAAACTTTAAAAAGACTACTGTTACTGATAACTCTGGGAAAAGTGATCAAGAAAAATGGAGAGAAAGCACAAATAGCTCATATTAGAAGTGGAAAAGGAGAGGGCTTGCCTGGCTCCGTTGGTAGAACATGGAACTCTTGATCTTGAGGTTGTAAGTTCCAGCCCCACGTTGGGGGTAAAGTTTCCTTAATAATGATAAAAAAGAAATGGACAAGGAGACATCACTTCATATCACTTGACATCCTACAGGGGTTAAGAACACATATATCATGAACAACTTACTGCCGATGAATATACGAGCCTAAGTGAAATAGACAAATAAGAAGATATAACTACATCTTTTCTACATTTATTTCTGTAATAAGTAGAACATATGAACAATAATTCAGTGCTTAAAGATACTTGACCTATTTTTAAAAATCTTTCACAAATAATTTTTCAAGTATAGATGACTCTACTAGTAAATTCTACCAAACATTTAAAGAAGAACTGATCATGAGCTCACAGAAAATCTTCCGGAGGATAGCAAAAGAAGAATCCTGAATCATGTTATGAGGATAGTGTAGCCATACTTCCAAAATGTGACAAGGACAAAAAAAAAATATATGACAAGGAACACCTGGGTGGTCTGCCTGCGGCTCAGCTCATGATCCCAGGGTCCTGGGATCAAGTCCCACATCAGGCTCCTTGCTCAGTCGGGAGCCTGCTTCTCCCTCTGCCTGCTCTGCCTGCTGCTCCCCCTGCTTGTGCTCTCTCTCTGAGAAATAAATAAATAAAATATTTTTAAAAATATATGACAAGGACAGCCCGGCGTGCTGCGGCGGAATGGCTGTTGAGCTGCGCGGGGTTCAGGTCCCCGGCTGGTTGGTGACTCCCGTGCTCTGCTTCTCCCCACTGAGCTGCTGCCTGGTGAAGAAGAAGCCATGGCACTCCGGGTCACCAGGAACGCAAAAGTTAATGTGGAAAATAAGGCGAAGATCAGCATGGCAGGCGCAAAGCGCGTGCCTCTGGCCACGACTGCGGCCTCCAAGCCCGGGCTGAGGCCGAGAACAGCCCTCGGAGACATTGGTAACAAAGTCAGCGAACAACCACAGGCCAAATTGCCTCTGAAAAAGGAAGCAAAAACTTTGGTTCCTGGAAAAGTTATTGCTAAAAAACTACCTAAACCTCTGGAGAAGGCACCCGAGCCTGTGCCAGAACCTGAGCCAGAACCTGAGCCCGTTAAAGAAGAAAAACTTTCGCCTGAGCCTATTTTGGTTGATACTCCCTCTCCAAGCCCAATGGAAACATCTGGATGTGCCCCTGCAGAAGAATATCTGTGTCAGGCATTCTCTGATGTAATTCTTGCAGTGAATGATGTGGATGCTGAAGATGGAGCTGATCCAAACCTTTGTAGTGAATATGTAAAAGATATTTATGCTTATCTGAGACAACTTGAGGAAGAGCAAGCCATCAGACCAAAATACCTACTGGGTCGTGAAGTCACTGGAAACATGAGAGCTATCCTTATTGACTGGCTAGTACAGGTTCAGATGAAGTTCAGGTTACTTCAGGAGACCATGTACATGACTGTTTCCATTATTGATCGGTTCATGCAGAATAACTGTGTGCCCAAGAAGATGCTGCAGCTGGTTGGTGTCACTGCCATGTTTATTGCAAGCAAATATGAAGAAATGTACCCTCCAGAAATTGGTGACTTTGCCTTTGTGACGGACAACACTTACACTAAGCACCAAATCAGACAGATGGAAATGAAGATTCTAAGATCTTTAAATTTTGGTCTGGGCCGCCCTCTACCCCTGCATTTCCTTCGGAGAGCATCTAAGATCGGAGAGGTTGATGTTGAGCAACATACTTTGGCCAAATACCTGATGGAACTAACTATGTTGGACTACGATATGGTGCACTTTCCTCCTTCTCAGATTGCAGCAGGAGCTTTTTGCTTAGCACTGAAAATTCTTGATAACGGTGAATGGACACCAACTCTACAGCATTATCTATCATACACTGAAGAATCCCTTCTAAGTGTTATGCAACACCTGGCTAAGAATATAGTCATGGTGAATCGTGGGCTTACAAAGCACATGACCATCAAGAACAAGTATGCCACATCTAAGCACGCGAAGATCAGCACGCTGGCACAGCTAAATTCTGCACTAGTTCAAGATTTAGCCAAGGCTGTGGCAAAGGTGTAACTTGTAAACATGAGTTGGAGTACTATAATAACTGCAAATAAAATTGGCACCATGTGCCATCTGTACATACTATATGTTACCTTTACTGACTTTTAATAAAGTTTGTGGTCCTTTTTACTTATACCTTAAAAAAAATATATATGACAAGGACATTATGAGAAAGAAAAGCCATAGGCACAATCTTTTTCATGAACATAGTTGCAAAAATCCTATACAAAATTTCAGTAAACCAAATTAAGCAATATAAAGTTGGATTTCCACCCCCAGGAAAGCAAAAATGGTTTAACATTCAAAGTCAAGCAATGAATACACAAATTTAACAAAATAATGTCACAGGGTCATCTCAATATGTGCTTCAAAAAGCATGTGATAAAATTTGGCATTGAGGGGCACCTGGGTGGCTCAGTGGGTTAGGCCTCTGCCTTCGGCTCAGGTCATGATCTGGGGGTCCTGGGATCAAGCCCTGCATTGGGCTCTCTGCTCAGCAGGGAGACTTCCCCCTTCTCTCTGCCTGCCTCTCTGCCTACGTGGGATCTCTCTCTGTCAAATAGATAAATAAAATCTTAAAAAAAAAATTCGGCATTGACTCATATTTTAAACTTACAGCAAGCTGAGGAAAGAAGAGACCTTTCCTACCTGATAGAGTATCTAACACATGTCTGCCACAAGTGTCACACTTCTTGGTGAAGTTTCATTATTACCCTCTGAAATAATATTCAAGGAAAGGATGTCTCTGTTACTACCTCAGTTCAGTATTGTGTTGGCAGAATTAGACAGTGAATTTAAGGCAAAAGGGAAATTGAAAAATTAGAAACAAATGAAACTGTCATTAGTATACCCTGTAAACATATAATTTAAAAATAAACTAGCAATAAATTATTATAATTTTGTGACCTTGGCAAAGTTGTTAGATAAAAATTAATATGAAATTCACTATATTTCTACATAGTTTTCATAAACTACAAATTTAAGCTTCATTTTTAAAAATAACATAACCAAATACTCAGCAGTGAAGTTAGCAAAAGATGTCCTACATTGCTTTGGTGAGAAATGTTAGTCTTAACTGGTACATGTTTGAAGAGTCCTAAATTAATCTTTAGTATACACATTAATGAGTTAGAAGAGTCAATGATGTAAGAATGTCATTTCTTTTGTTTAATAATTAAAATAAGAAATATTTTAATACAATAGCTTCTCATAGTCAAAATTAATGCAAAAAAATCCATGATGAACATTATTAAAGTTTTAAATAAGTACCAGTGTTCAGCTGAGCCATATTGGAACCTAAGGTAAAAAGAAAAATGTGGAGCGGTTCGGAAGGGGCCTCCGGGAATGGGCAGAGCTGCGTGGCAAAGAGGTGTTTGCAATGGCTGCTACTGTGAGCTTGGAACTTGATCCCATTTTTTTTTTTAAAGCACTAGGCTTCTTACATTCAAAGAGTAAGGATTCTGCAGAAAAGCTAAAGGCACTACTTGATGAATCTTTGGTTCAGGGCATTGATTCAAGTTACCGTCCATCTCAGAAAGATGTAGAGCCACCCAAAATTTCAAGCACAAAACCTATTTCTGTTAGAGCCCAAAACATCATCCAGTCTTCTTTCTGGCAATAGTAACGGCAAGGCCCTCATAACTGAAAAAGTAAAGAAGGAAGCTGAAAAGAGACCAGCTGATAAAATGAAATCAGATGTCACAGAAGGAGGTGATATTCCAAAGAAACCTAGATTGGAGAAACCAGAGACACGGTCCTCTCCCATTACCGTCCAAACTAGCAAGGATTTAGCCATGACTTACCTTTCCAGTTTTGAGGAGACTAGTGCTGACGATTTTGCCATGGAGATGAGATTGGCTTGTGTTGTTTGTAGGCAAATGATGCTGGCATCCTGTAATCAATTAGAAGAATGTCAGGAGTGCCGTGATCTCTACTACCAAGATTGCCACGAGCCCCAGGTGACAAACAAGGAAGTGAATGACCCTTGTCTTGTGTGGAATTGTGCTCGATGAACCAGACAAATGAAAAGAATGGATAAAAAAAACTCAGAAACCACCACAGAAACCAGCCCCCACAGTCATTTCTGTCGCTCCAGCTGTCAAAGAGCCATTGGTTAAGAAACCAGAAACTAAACTCAAGCAGAGACAACTTTTCTAGCATTTAAGAGAACAGAGATCAAGACATCCACAGCTATTTCAGGAAATTCTTCTAGTCCCAGTGTTTCCTCTTGAGGACCTAGTGGCCTAACTGGATGGGCAGCTTTTGCAGCTAAAACTTCCTTCTCTGGTCCATCAACAGCGAAATTGAATTCAACAACCCAAAATAATAGTGGGAAGCCTGCGACCTCATCAGCTAACCAGAAGCCCTAACTGGCCTGGCGACATCATCTACAGGTGGAATAGGTTCCAAAACAGGTTCCAGTAACAGCACTGCACCCTCTGTTCCACCGAAACCACCTCCCCCTCTAACTTTGGGCAAAACTGGCCTTAGCTGCTCTATTAGCTATGACAATGTTAGCAAAGTGGGTCTTCTAGTCCAAGTAGTTTAGTTCCAGGAAGCACCAGCCAACTCAGTGGGAACGGAAATAGTGGGACATCAGGGCCCAGGGGAAGTACCACTAGCAAAACCACTTCAGAATCAAGCAGCATCCCTTAAAGGTCTGACTTCACAAGAATCACAGCTCAATGCCATGAAGCGATTACAGATGGTCAAGAAGAAAGCTGCGCAGAAGAAACTCAAGAAGTAATGTGGCCAAGTAGTTTTTTATGTCACATTACCCTAAAATCTTATTATTAGAACATAAACTGTAATATACTATAATTTAATAAAAATCTTCACAATGAAAGAAAAATGTGTATCACTATAGATATGTTTTTATGGATTTTGAATAGTTAACTTTTTTCCAGAACATTTAAATGTTGAAAAAATATTGAAAAAACAAAATATCAATATCGAACAATCAAAAAGTATTAAAACTCACCATGAGCTTAAATATTTTGTTGATAACACAGAATGCATTATAATTTTACTTCCCTGGCTGTAATGGGACAAACCCAACAACATTTTCGAAATCTTCTTTGCTTATCTCATTTTCAGTTGTGAGAACTGCAATGCTTGACAATTTCTCTTGACAAAGTAACAATCTTTTAGATATCTTTTTAAGACCACTAGTTCACAAAGATCGTTCCAATCTAACTTTAACATTATAAAATGGATTCTACCTTGGTTTTAATTTTTAGACAGCTCTCTCTGTGTCATGGTTCAAAGCAACTAATAGGCAAAGGCAGGAACACCACACCAGGAAAGGGACAAGAACACAGAGAAACAGTCTTTGGGGTGCGCTGGTGTGCAAGGTGTGCTGAAAGCAGCCAGGCAAGCAGGACACAGAGCTTTCTGGCACTACAGTATCTACAGTAGACACTCAGGAGCGGCAGCCCACTGGGGGAATCTGAAATTAACCTCAAAACTAAGCAAGGACCTAAATGTGAAACATTTTAGCTACAGAACTTCCAGAAGAAAACATAGATTTTTGTGATCTTGGGCTAGGCAAAGAGTTCTTAGGACACCAAAAGCACAATGCATAGTAGAAAAACTTATAAACTGAACTCTATAAAAATTAAGAACTTTTACTCTTTGAAGGACACAATTAAGGGGCTGAAAAGACAGGACGGAGACGGGGAGAAAATATTTCCAAGTCACATACCTGATAAAGCACTTAAATCTGGACTATATAAAGAACTTCCAAAATTCAATATTAAGAAAACAACTCAGTTAAAAAAATGGTCAACTGATTCAAACATACAGACTGCCCAAGACACACAGAAGGCAAATAGCACATGAAAGTTGTTCGGGATCGTTACTCATGAGAGAAACGCAGTCTAAAGCCACAGTAAGATACCACTACCCCTGAAATGCAAAGACTGATCACAACAAGTGTCAGTGAGCACGTGCAGTACCTGCAACTCTCACACTGCCAGCGACAATGTCGACCATCACAGGAAGCACCCCGGCCCGTAAACACGGAACTTGGCGTGATTCAGCTATTCCATTCTCAAGAGACAGGAAAGCATGTGTGCGTGTGAAGACTTGCACACAAATGCTTACAGTAGCTTTGTTTGCAGCCCGCTATGAGAAGCAACCCAGATGCCCACCAACAACTGACTGGATAGACAGACTGTGGTGCAGCTACACAGTGCAGTGCTGTGCTACTCAGAAGGGAACTGGGAATATAGGCCCCAACACAGAATCTCAGAATAATTATATTGAGTAAAAGAAGCCAAACAAAGAAGAGTATACACTACATGATTCTATTTCTGTAACACTCTAGAAAATCAAACTAATCTAAATGACAAAAAGCAGATGTCATTTCTACCCAAATCATTCTATAAATTCAATGCAAATCCTAAGCAAAGTCCCAGATTTCCCAAATTCCTAAATTTCTGTGGACTGAAAAAAATGATTAAGAAATTTAAATGTGGCTAAAATAAAAAACACAGTAAACAACGTGTGTTGGAGAGGATGTGGAGAAAGCAGAGCCCTCTTACACTGTTGGTGGGAATGCAAGTTGGTGCAGCCATTTTGGAAAACAGTGTGGCGATTCCTCAAAAGGTTAAAAATGGGGGACGCCTGGGTGGCTTAGTTGTTAGATATCTGCCGTCGGCTCAGGTTACGATCCTGGGGTCCTAGGATCGAGTCCCACGTGGGGCTCCCTGCTCAGTGGGAAGCCAGCTTCTCCTCTCCCACTCCCCTTGCTTGTGTTCCCTCTCTCACTGTCTCTCTCTCTGTCAAATAAATAAATACAATCTTAAAGAAAAAACGTTCAAAATGGGATTACCTTATGATCCAGTAATCACACTACTGGGTATCTGCCCCCCCAAATACAAAAGCACTAAATCAAAGGGATATGTACATGTCGATGTTTATGGAAGCATTATTTATAGTTGACAAATTATGGAAGCAGCCCAAGCATCCATGGATAGATGAATGGATATAGAAGATGTGGTGCCGGGGTGCCTGGGGGGCTCAGTGGGTTGGGCCTCTGCCTTCAGCTCAGGTCATGATCCCAGGGTCCTGGGATTGAGTCCCACACCGGGCTCTCTGCTCAACGGGGAGCCTGCTCCCCCCGCACCCTGC